TCCGCGCCATAGGGACCGGCCCGGGACGCCTGTGAGCGATGTTCTGAGCGCCGATCCAAAGTCCCCGCCAAGTCCAGCACCGCGTCCACCCTGGACAGCCGCCTGTCCGTCAAGGAGCCCCTGAACCTGACGGAGGTGTTGCAGAGCCAGGCGGCGGTGCAGAGGCGCTACACGCAACTGCGCAACATCGACATCTTCGAACTGATCATCCGCCGGGAGAATCGGAGCGCCCCGCCCCCCAGGAGCCCCTGGAAGAGGTGTCACTCCTGCCCCGATCTGGACACCAAACCTTCATCCCAATCCGTCTTCTTCAACTTCGACAACCTGGGGGAGGAGGTGGACCAGCTGGACGTTCCGGTTCTTCTCATCGTCCTCATTGTGGTCACCTACCTCATGCTGGGCGCGTTCATCCTCCCGCTGTGGGAGGACTGGGACATGCTGGAGGCCTTTTACTTCTGCTTCGTGACGCTGAGCACCATTGGCTTCGGGGACGTCTTCCCCGCGCACCCCAACTACTTCCTGCTGCTGTCTCTCTACACCGTGGTCGGCATGGCCATCATGTGCATGGCCTTCAGACTGATGCAGAACCGCATGGTCTCCATGTACAAGCAATGCGTCATCTGCGTCAGCAGAGGAAACGTCCAGTGACCGCCACAGAAGACGCAGGCGGCCATGTTTGATGGAGACGCAAAGCCGTCCGACCAATGAAAATCCTTCACAGCTGACCCCTGAGATCCCCTCAGCCGGGTCTGAGAACACCGGCAGCTGTCAAAGCTCCTGCTCAATACATTGTGTGTATCCAGGCAGCCAATCACAGGCCGGCGAGAAGGAATCAGAGCAAAGCAGTGTACAGGAAGATTACCCAGCATGCACAGTTGTTAAAGGGACCTTCCGTCACTCGCATTTAAAGTGCGGCCAAAGCCAAGAACTTGGATGGAGCGGAGAATGGGTAGGAGCCCCTGTCATTGGGGAGATTTCTCCCGACTTCCTGTCCTCCAGACTTCTCTGCTAAGTGAGGTGAACTCCCCTCCTGTCACAGGTACAGGTGTCCCCGTTTGGAGGTTTCCCCTCACTTCCTGCTCTGGTGACACCTCAAAGTGTCACTTCCTGGTCCATTATTAATGATCTGCAGGACAATCGAGAGGATGAATCTCCCCAGCGGGGACACCAGGAAATACCCGGCAGAGGTCCTGACCCCTCCCCTCCACGCTCCATCCAAACCTGAAACTGTCTTGTCTAGAGCCGCGCTTTCAGAATCGGACTATTTGCGGATTCGCGATCATGTTTTGCACGCATTTTTCGAGTGGCCTGCACAGGCCATTTCTATAAACGCCATTTATGAATGAGACCCTACGCATCCCACAGTGCCATTTCCGGATATGTGTAATCACCGAGTGAATAAAGCCGGGTGTGTTATGCCGAGTCAGGTTCCGGGTCTTCTATGGTCAGGGTGGAGATCTCAGACACACGGGGCCACTGGGTGTGATCTGTGCCAGACGGAGGACCAATTACTAAGCTCCGCCCTACAAGGTACGTGGCAGATTTATATGATTAGTATTCCTGGAGGTGCCCAGGTGGCCTCAACCTGCTGACTCCGCCTTCTATTGAGTCTCAGCTCCACCTGCTGGTGAGAAGGAGGGATAATGCGCTACAGACAGGTAAGGGATGATTCCTCAGGGGCGGGGCCAAAGCAGCATCATCGATGGGAGGTGATGTCCCCATTGATTGATGTCAGAGGGTTTCCTCACACGGGTGACACCTGAACCGTACACAGCAGGTAGACGTTGCCAGGTTGTTCAGGCAGACGGATGACAACTCTGAAGGGAACTCACAAACTAAATCAGGGTGCAATGGGTCATCCTCCGAGGAGTCCAGGGTGCAATGGGTCATCCTCCGAGGATGGAATCAGAGCAAAGCAGTGTACAGGAAGATTACCCAGCATGCACAGTTGTTAAAGGGACCTTCCGTCACTCGCATTTAAAGTGCGGCCAAAGCCAAGAACTTGGATGGAGCGGAGAATGGGTAGGAGCCCCTGTCATTGGGGAGATTTCTCCCGACTTCCTGTCCTCCAGACTTCTCTGCTAAGTGAGGTGAACTCCCCTCCTGTCACAGGTACAGGTGTCCCCGTTTGGAGGTTTCCCCTCACTTCCTGCTCTGGTGACACCTCAAAGTGTCACTTCCTGGTCCATTATTAATGATCTGCAGGACAATCGAGAGGATGAATCTCCCCAGCGGGGACACCAGGAAATACCCGGCAGAGGTCCTGACCCCTCCCCTCCACGCTCCATCCAAACCTGAAACTGTCTTGTCTAGAGCCGCGCTTTCAGAATCGGACTATTTGCGGATTCGCGATCATGTTTTGCACGCATTTTTCGAGTGGCCTGCACAGGCCATTTCTATAAACGCCATTTATGAATGAGACCCTACGCATCCCACAGTGCCATTTCCGGATATGTGTAATCACCGAGTGAATAAAGCCGGGTGTGTTATGCCGAGTCAGGTTCCGGGTCTTCTATGGTCAGGGTGGAGATCTCAGACACACGGGGCCACTGGGTGTGATCTGTGCCAGACGGAGGACCAATTACTAAGCTCCGCCCTACAAGGTACGTGGCAGATTTATATGATTAGTATTCCTGGAGGTGCCCAGGTGGCCTCAACCTGCTGACTCCGCCTTCTATTGAGTCTCAGCTCCACCTGCTGGTGAGAAGGAGGGATAATGCGCTACAGACAGGTAAGGGATGATTCCTCAGGGGCGGGGCCAAAGCAGCATCATCGATGGGAGGTGATGTCCCCATTGATTGATGTCAGAGGGTTTCCTCACACGGGTGACACCTGAACCGTACACAGCAGGTAGACGTTGCCAGGTTGTTCAGGCAGACGGATGACAACTCTGAAGGGAACTCACAAACTAAATCAGGGTGCAATGGGTCATCCTCCGAGGAGTCCAGGGTGCAATGGGTCATCCTCCGAGGAGTCCAGGGTGCAATGGGTCATCCTCCGAGGAGTCCAGGGTGCAATGGGTCATCCTCCGAGGAGTCCAGGGTGCAATGGGTCATCCTCCGAGGAGTCCAGGGTGCAATGGGTCATCCTCCGAGGAGTCCAGGGTGCAATGGGTCATCCTCCGAGGAGTCCAGGGTGCAATGGGTCATCCTCCGAGGAGTCCAGGGTGCAATGGGTCATCCTCCGAGGAGTCCAGGGTGCAATGGGTCATCCTCCGAGGAGTCCAGGGTGCAATGGGTCATCCTCCGAGGAGTCCAGGGTGCAATGGGTCATCCTCCGAGGAGTCCAGGGTGCAATGGGTCATCCTCCGAGGAGTCCAGGGTGCAATGGGTCATCCTCAGAGGAGTCCAGGGTGCAATGGGTCATCCTCCGAGGAGTCCAGGGTGCAATGGGTCATCCTCAGAGGAGTCCAGGGTCATCTGCACACATCTGCTGTAATGTAAGGGGGGGGGGGCTTGCCGGTTCACTCCGCATTGTCACATGACGAATCCTTTCCGTCCCCAGTACAGAAGGTATTGCTGCCGCCTGTGTCTCTGGGGTCCCCGTTGTCAGGGCACTTTACAATGGGGGAAGTTGGTGAGGAATTTCCCCCAACTGGAGAGATTTCCTCTTCCTGTCACATCCCCGGAACACAAAGAGGATGAAAATCTCCTCAATGGGGACACAGCAAATAAAACCTGCGGCGGCTCCTCCTCATGGCCACCAGATGGCGCCACCAGACCGGAGACATCCAGCTGCTGATCCTCAGAGACACTCTGCTGTGTAGTATATACTCCGACCTCCTCCCGCTGTATACATGCTGCACACGTCACAGGCCATGGGGAATTCTGAGGATCTGATTGGTTGGTTTGTACACACACATCTCTCCTTCACTAGATCGACCCCCCGCCCACCACCACCATCTATACCCACTTCTAAACCCCCCCTCTGATCTCCCCCATCTGTGCCCCCCTCTGATCTCC